TTTTAATTAACATGTATTCCTTAAGAGAGGCAGGTAGAAGTTTTTACTCTTAAGAAGATGGCATATTGGTATTAATATTTTAGTCTAGTCCTCTTTGATGCAGTTCACAGGCTATTTTACACTAATTTTTAGCAATGTGTAGCTCTTCATTGTAAGGAACTGCAGTACTGTATAGATCTTTTTGCGGGTGAAGAAATTGAGGTACAGAGAGGAAGAGACCTGCCCAAGGTCAAAGAACTAGTCAGTGGAAGTCTGAGATTCGACTTAGGGTCTTCTGGGCTTTTCCTCTTGTGTTCACCACTAAGGCGCCAGCTCCCCCTTTGCTGGGAACAGCTCCGCCCAACCGGAGCTGCTCTACTGCCTGTCCACAGTGTGTTAGGGGATACCCACACTACCTGTTCTGTTCCGCTCTGAAGCAGCCCTTCAGTGTCCTCTAAACTGGATCCACTTTCCCCTGCCCATGGTTTGGAATACCTCCGCCTGGAGGAGAGGTGGTTACTTTTAAAGGGCCTGCAGAACAGAACAGGGAAGAGGTCAGGGAGGGCTACTCAGCTAGAGCCTCCTCAGCAGCTTAGCTACCAAGACAGCATTTTCTTGAGCAAAGAACCCCACAAGCAAACAACCCTCTTCTCATTTGGTTTCTGGGGTTAGGGGGTATGTACAGTAGGCAGTGGTTTCTGGCTGTGCATTTTTGCACACCCTGACACGCAACACACACACACCAGTCGGTCCTAAAGCAGAATCCCTGGGGTAGGTTCGAGACCTCAGCATGCATGTTGTGAAAAACTCCTTAGGTAGAGCTGATGGACAAACAGCCAAGACCTAGATTCACCCATAACCCATTGCTCCTGACTGAATGGGCTAAATGATAGGCTACTGCTTTAGACGAGAGATCACTGTGATTTGAATGTTTTAAAAAGTTAAATATGAATATAAGTTATGAGTTTATGTGCCTGAACAGAGGTATGGGTGTTGTGATACTGTTAACATGGACACTAGTAAGACCAGGCTGAAGAGTCCGTCCCAATGCACTGCATTTTGGTAAGTGCTGATTTAGTCCAAGGCAAAAGGTAAGAGTTGTTTGTTCATCATAAACCATGCTTCTCTGGAATCTTGGCACTTTCTCTAAAGATGAAGGCAGCCAGTAGTGGAGCCAGCTGATGATAATCTGTAGATTAGGTGACCCGCATCTGACTCTTCCCTTTCAAAAAGTGGAAGGTTAGTGTTTTTTCAAGACTTTGGAATGGTAGATTTGTTTAAAGATTTTATTTACGGTATTTATTTTTAGAGAGAAGGAAAGGGAGGGAGAAAGAGGGATGTGAGCAAGAAACATCCATCGGCGGCCTCCCGTATGTGCCCCAGCTGGGGGCTGAACATGCAACCCAGGCGTGTGCTCTGATCGGAATTCAAACTGGCGACCTTTCATTTTATGGGATGGCTCCCAACCCATCTGAGCCACGCCAGTCAGGGCAAAATGATAGATGTTTTTATTATTATTAATAGTTCTAGGGGGGGGTGTTTATTACGGGTTTTTCCAAAGACGAGTATCTTTATTTCATTTTTTTTGTTTATAGTTTAGGTCTCTTCTGCCAACATACTTATCTTGAAGATTCTGTGCACATCTGCATGTTAGAGAGAGATTTCTTTGGGGAGGACCCTGTCAGTAGTACTCACTCTGTAAGCCATCTTCAGGAATGCGTCACTGCTTTAACATCCTGGCCTTCAAAAGCTGCCATCTTTACCCAGAACTGGGCTGCGTACTTTCCCTTTTCTGTTCTTCTGTACTACAGATGTGACTCAGCATCTGTAAAATGGATCAAAAGTATCTAAGCGCAGGAAGATGGTAGGCACAGGAAGGAAGAACCAGTAATTGAGGATTCTCTTACATGTTGGTACAAATGACCTGGGCAGAGCAGAGCCACTTATTGGGAGCTTGAAAAACCTAAAGTGGTGAGGAAGGGTGTAAAATCTCTTCCTGGAACACAGGACACCCCTGGTTATGAAACATGTCTGCAATATTGGAGTCCTGTCTGGGAGCACTTCTGAACAAGAAGTGAGTAAGCCCGTACTTTTTTTTAAGGTTTTGTTGTTGGATGATAGGAATCCTCCACTGCTACTTAACACTTGTGAGCAGCCGGGGTCGTGAGGCCGGGCCGGAGAAGCGCCCAGGTCACTGCGAGTGGGTGCGTGCGAACAGCCTCGGGCTGCGTCCTGTGGTTGAGCTGCTTGAAAAGGAGCACACCGCCTCCGAAATGTCAGGGAGCTCAGTCCCAGAAACGCCTGAAACACCAAGAGGCCATGTTGCTGGCCTTGAACTTCTGAAAACGGAAAGCTTTGAGGAGGGAGTGGCCATCTCCGAGGGTACACGATTGTGGTGCTTGTGCCATCATGAAGGTGAGGCAGTCAGTGTTCATTTTATCTAGTAACTGAGGCAGCATTTTGGATAGGCCTGGGTTGGAAGCCCAGCCCTTTGGGCAGGTCACTCCACCTCTTTCTGCCTCGGTTTCCCCACATGCAGAATGGAGGTAGTAATGGAACCTCCCTCATCGGCTGCGGAGAAATGAAGAAGTGCCGGCTGCTGCTGAGCGCCTGGCTTGGACCTGCTGTGTGGGCGTCAGCTGTTGCCGCCATTACTGTTACTGCTGCCTGTGTCACTGTGACTCGTAATGACTTCCCTCCTCGGGGATCATGTGTCATTTGTGAAGCTTCCACGCGCCTTGTTTTTCCTTATTAATTTGCTTACCTTTCTGGCATTTTTCTACTACTGTCTTAATAACCCACCCATCCAAGGATGAAAAGAAAAAAAGTTTCAGATTTGTCATGTTTTATTAAATGTGTCAAATACACAGAAAAAGAAAGGACGTATTTATGGGGAAATGCTATTTTCAAAGGTTAAAAATAATAAAGTGGCATTTGAAGTGTGAACAGTAGAAATTACAAGCCTGTTTCCTTGACGTAACTCTGAGAATATTCTGTGGACGCATACTGTACATACTTGTGATTCCAGAGATGCACCAGCGGGTGGGCTTCCACCTCCCAGCTCCAGAGCACGCGTTCTTCCCTGTCCCTCATTAACGAACCGTTCTCAGTGGTTTTGCATAATGAATGGGTAATTCTTGGCTTGCTGGGTACGTTGCTTCCTTTTCAGAAAATGATGAGTAAAATGGCAGTGAAAATCCTAGTGCAGATGGTTGGTTGGGGATTATCTTGGAAGATTTCTTTTTCTGTTTTGATCAGGAATTTCTGCGTTTGTTTCCTGATGCACAGGAAACTGACTGTAACGTGATTCTTTGGAAAGTTAGCTTTATGAAGGTGAAAGAGCCCAGGTCCTTGTGATAACACCAAGGGACCTGAGCTGCCAAGTGCAGAATCTACTAGCCACCGGTAGTTACTCGCTGAGAATGAAGTAAAATGAGTGGTCCAGTTCCTCGTGGTCTCAGACATTTCATGTGTTCAGTAGCCACATGTGGCTAGTGGCTGCTGTATTGGACAGTGCAGATACGGAACAGCTCCGTCATTGCAGAAAGTTCCGTGGCATAGTGCAGCTCTAGCTTATTCTAGCTGCCCAGTTCCTTAACCTTACAGTGGCGAGGAAGAGCCACCTCCTGTTTGTAGGGTTTTCTAGAGCAGAGGCCGACACACTTTGGCTGCCTGTGTTTTAAAGGCTTTATTGGAATGCAGCCACACCTGTCTGTTTGCCTGTTGTCCGTGGCTGCTTCTGTGCTGCTGCAGCAGAGCAGTGTTGGGTAGGTATGACAGACCAGGTGTGGCCCGAGGCCTGCGGTTACTCCCCTTACAGAGAGTTTCCGAGCCTTTTTATCTAGACCAGGGTATCTCAGCCTCAGCACTACTGATATTTTGGCTCATATAGTTACTTGTCGTGATGGGCTGTCCTGGGCATTGTAGGATGTTTAAGCAGCATCCCTGGCCTCTCTCCACCACCTGCCCCCCTGCCACCTGGTTGTGACCACCTCAGTTTTCTCCAGACAGTGCCAGGCACCCCTCCAGGGAGCAGAGTCACTCCTGGCCGTGAGAACTAATTTACGGTGATGTGGCCTGATTTGTAATACTTACTTACTAAGTCCATTAAAAGAGCAGAATAAATTGAATACTTTTTAATGTTATTAGCACTCCCTCTGGAAACAGAAACGTCTCCTTTAATGTGTGGAGTAGCTAGAATAGTGCAGAGAAGTGGAAGCACTGGGGTCCCCCATTCACTGGCCTCTGACGGGAAGTCACAGCATCTCTGAAGTTGGTGGGGGTGTGGGGGCTGTTTCACAGGTCCCCAGGCCTGCCCGGTGAAGCACCGTGTGCTGCAGGGCTGTCGTTGCCTGTGGCGGGGTGGGTGTGTGTGCGCCCAGCTCCTTATGCTGAATCTGGCAAGAAGGGAGTAACTAAACGTTCATTAAGTGACTATTAACAAATGCAATAAATTAGTGTTTACCTGTCTTATTTATGATTTTAAGTGGTCCATATAGGTTCTTACCCTCATTACCCAGAACAATTGAATAACTCGTTATATTTATCTTAATTAGAAGTTATGAGAATTGAATTAAATGTCAAGACCTACAAAATTGTGTTTAGTTCTTTTAAGATCTGGTGCTTAAATACTGTCTAGAGTGGGGGCTTCCAAAGCTGGAGAAGGCCATGTTAATAGATGGACCCCCCTTGTGTGAGAATGTAGCATATTGGGGTGCACGTTTTAAATTAAGAAACAGTGTATGTAGAACTTCCAGATTCTCAGTTTAGAAAATGGGGTAAATTAGGGTTGGAACAGTCACCTTTCAAAGTGAGTATCAGGTATACTTTTATTTGGTTCTTCAAATTAAAATTAAATTAAAAAATTTTTAAATTGGTATTGAAAAGCATATGTAATGTGTAGTGGAGCCCACTTCCACGTGGTCCAGTATCTAGGAAGGTAGGTGGCTTTGACCGTGGAATTCAAGTGAATTTCAGGTGAACTTGTTCCGTGCATGATGTGCTTCTGTTTGTTTTCCCAGATCTTACCAATATATTTGAGTCCTTCCTGCCCCAGTTGTTGGCCTATCCCAATCCCATAGATCCTCTCAATGGTGACGCTGCAGCCATGTACCTCCACCGACCAGAAGAGTATAAGCAGAAGATTAAAGGTAAGGCAGCAAGTGGTTTCACCTGGAGACAGGAGAACTTAGTCTATTGGACTTTGATCATAAATCATCCTTCTTAGTCACTAATAACTTTTCTCAGGACCAAAAAGACACAGCTGCTGACTGGAGCAGAGCTCACTAGCCTCTGTTAGTAGTTCCGAGGGCAAGAGACAAACTCTGGGAGGCTGGAGGTGCCAGCACAGAAGAAGGGAAGGAGAGAGAGAGAAAGCAGAAGGAAAGATGAGACAGTGGGAGGGTTCACCGTCGGGTGTTAGTAGATGTGACCCTGCCAGAAATCCCTGTGGACATTCGTCCAAGAGGACATTTGCCTGCATTTCCTTCCTCTTGTCTTGTAAAATTAGAAAATTGAACTTGAGAATAAAATATTAATTGAAAGGTATAATCTCACATTTGTGTATAGACAGCTATCCTGGCCCTCAGGAAAACAATTCCTTTTGGGAGTTGGGAAAATAATGGCCACATTCAGCATTAGACTCTTAAAATTATGTCATTTTACCTGTTTAATTAAAAATATCCTGCTGGCTTCTTTGCTTGGTCCCATATGGGTGCACTTTCACGGGTGCGAGCTCTCCTCTCGGCACGGTCCTGCCCGCTGCGGACACCTGGCCCCCGTGCCCTGGGGCCGTGGGCATTTTCTCCTAGAACCTGAAATGCACCCGTGAAGGTAGAAACTTGTTGGTGATGGCAGCACCGGTGTCCTCGCCCTTTCTGGGTTAGGATCCTGTCTTCCCTTCCTCGATCACTGTGCATGCTCACAGGGCATGGGTTTCATGGAAAGGAATCACGGTCTCGAAGGCCGGTTAGAGCCTCACCCAGGCCTGCCGGTGTCCATCATGCTGCCCTCGTCCACTGTGTGTGCGAGGGCACCTCCACAGTGAGGAGGTTGGGCTCGGAGAGTTCCTCGGAGAGGAGGAGGAGGATCCAGAGTCCCTGGGGACAGGCCGTCCTTCCTAACAAAAGGAAGGCATTGAGCTCCACCCAGTCGTTAGCAGTGCTGGCCCATCTGCCTGACAGTTCAGAACCTGAGCTCCTGCGAGGCCTGTGCCCCTCTGAGGTACACTTGCGAGGAACGGCAGTAGGAGTCATTTGTGAGGGCCTGAACAGATAGGTCTTCGCTCGGAATCGTGCAGCTGTGAGACAGAGAAGCGTTTGGGGTGACGTGGAACATGGGTTTTCTTCTCAGTTCTCTCGTCTTCTGTGTTCTTTACAGGGTTTTGTTTGGTACTTTTGTTGAGATAAAGTAGCAATAGATCCACTCTAATTTACTTAGGTTTCAGATGCTTTGCAAATTGTGTATTTTGTGCAGCAGAGTATCTACATAGCCAAACATGTATTTTTTTTAAAGCAGCCAGTTTCAACCAGATGAAATTCTATTATGAGACTATATTAAAAATTTGACAAAGGGATCACTCAACAGGGTCTGCAACCTACAGACACCTCGGTGCGGCGCCTGTGTCTTTGTGCATCCAGTGCACCACAGCGATTGGACGCTAATCCTGCTAGTACGCAACTGCTGTGGTGCCAGCTGCACAAGGAACCCAGCCTACACCTCTGTCTTCGAATGGATAGTCCAGCTTTCTGAAGGGCTAATGTTGGCGATCGTTTCATCTTCCTGAGCAATCTGAGGAAATCACGGCCGTCAGCCTTGAGCTCACCCACCCGGCTTCCTGCTCTGGCTTTATTTATACTCACCCCATCTCTCCTCTGTCTCCTCCGATGGGAGGTGAAGGGTGTCCTGTCCTGCCTCAGACTCACTTCCCTGCCAGCCTGCAATCTTGTCCTCCCACGTATCTCCTTCCTCCTGCTCCCTCCGCGTTTTCTAGATCCCTTTAGGGGTCTTGCTGTTAATTTCCTTACATTTTCCAACGTCTCACTTCCATGCCTTAAACTTACGAGGTCTGGTTTGTTTCCCCTCCTATACTGAATCTGTGATCTCATGTCTTCCTGACATTTTGGACCCTTCGCAAGACCTGTTTTCAGGGACCTCTCTGTAGCTTTGGCTTTTTACCTGTTGCCTTTCTGAAAATAGTTCTCATCCCATCCCCAAACTTAGACATTCTCTTTAAGATTCAGTCCTTCAGTCCCCTACTTTCCTCCCCCACCGCTTAGGAAGCCTGTTTGCCCCTCACAACTTCAGATAATCCCCTTCAGGTAGACGATTTCCAAAAACACGTCTAGGTATGACCTCCCTCCCCGGCTGCCCACCGCACGGCCCCACGCCCAACAGCGCACACAGGTTGGTGTGCAGCCCCCTTACTGGGCTCAGGGTCTGCGCTCATGTGGCGTCGGTGCTGTTTCCCCTTGTAAACATGGGGCCGCCAGGAGAGCTCTGAAGACCCCACTTCCCTGCCCAGCCTTCACTGAGGGGCCTCTGAGTCTGCTGTTCCAGGTTCTCTACCCCCATGTACGACCTACATCTTTGCCTCTACTCCGCCAAATGCATCCGTATATGACAGTAAAATGCGATGAATTGCAGATACCCGACTATATTCTTTTTCTTAGGGAACATTTTAGCACTACAGAAAAACATAACCGTGCACCCACCATCTACCTCTAGATGAACCTGTGCGTTTCGCCTTGTTTGCTTCAAAAAATTTTTAAAGAAAGCAAGCAGATGTAGTTCTCTCTTCATGCTGTGTTTTAACATGCCAGCCACTTCCTTCTCCCTCGGCGCTTTGGGCGAGGCTGTGGCTTCCCCCAGATCGGCTGGGCTGGGCTCCTGCCAGGCCTTGGTCGGTCAGGGGTCCCTGCAGGTGGGACTCTTCCTGGCCCTCAGCCGAGTCCCTTCCTCTGTGCTTGCCTCTGATGGTACTTTTCTCTTGGTGACCTTGCTGTTGGTTTTTCTCTCTCCTGAAAGGCCTTGTCCTGGTAAGCACATAGCATGTCCCCTTGAGTGTTCGGGACTGAGAAGGCTGACAGTGTCAGATGGCTGCCACAGCCCGGCATCTTCTTTCTGCAAAGGAAGAAACAAAGTAGCCGACCCACTAGAGAGTAAAAATAAACTTTCTGGGGCTTTAATAATCATTTCTCTCACTCTAAAAGGTGAACTAAGGTTGGCTTCTATCTAATTAAGGGTGCTTTTTTTCAGCTCTGTAAAATTTTGTAACTAAGAATTTGTAGGACTCTATCTACTGTCTATGCTACTTATTTTCTGTACCTTCTCCCCCCTTCTCCTCCCACTCCCCTGTTGCTAACCCTCCTTCACATCTAGCTGTCCTTTTAGTTTGCTTTTGTTTTAGGTGTGGTTGTTAATAACTGTGAGTTTGTTGTCCTTTCACTGTTCATGTTTCTTTAACTTCTTTTTCTTAGATAAGTCCCTTTAACATTTCATATAATAAGGGCTTGGTGATGATGAACTCCTTGAATTTGATCTTATCTGAGAAGCACCTTATCTGTCCTTCCATTCTAAATGAAAGTTTTGCTGGATAGAGCAATCTTGGTTGTAGGTCTTTGGATTTCATGACTTGGAATACCTCTTTCCAGCCCCTTCTTGCCTGTAAGGTCTCTTTTGAGAAATCCGCTGACAGTCTGATGGGAACTCCTTTGTAGGTGACTGTCCCGTTAGCTCTTGCTGCTTCTAGGATTCTCTCCTTCATTTTAATTTTGGCTACTGTAATTATGATGTGCCTTGGTGTGTTCCTTCTTGGGTCCAACTTCTTTGGGACTCTCTGAGCTTCCTGGATTTCTTGGAAGTCTATTTCCTTTGTCAGATTGGGGAAATTCTCCTTTATTATTTGTTCAAATAAGTTTTCCACTGGTGGCTGTGCCTTTTCCCCTTCTGGTACCCCTATAATTCGGATGTTGGAGCGTTTAAAGATGTCCTGGAGGTTCCTAAGACTCTCCTCATTTCTTTGAATTCTTGCTTCTTCACTCTTTTCTGTTTGGCCATTATTTGCTTTCTTCTGGTCCACTCCATTGATTTGAGTCCCAGTTTTCTTTTCATTGCTATTGGTGTCCTGTGCAATTCCATTCATTTCAATTAGTTTCGCCTTCATATATTTGTCTAATTTGTGGGTATAATCAACCAGTTCTGTGAGGATCCTGATGACCAGTGTTTTAAACTGTGCATATGAGAGTTTTGCTATTTCTTCGTCGCTTAGATCTATGGACTTTGGGGCTTTGAGATCTTCTTGCGACATTTTTGGTCTGTTCTGGCCCTTTAAGTGTGAGAAGTGGTGCCTTGGACTCCCAGGTCGCTGGGTTGTGGCGCAGTATGTGGGGGTGTGGTCAGAGCAGGGAAATGGCGACCCCCCCTCTGCTGTTTCTCACAGCTGGGTGAGGATTAGCGTCTTAGGTGGTTCACCTGGGCGGGCCACTCAGAGTCGCTGGGTTATGACGCTGTATGTGGAGGTGGGGTCAGAGCAGGGAAATGGCGGCGCCCTCCACTGCCGCCCGCTGCGGGGACCCACCGAGCCCTGGTCCAACCGCCCGCTCCCTCGCCTGTCCGCCTGCGCACAAATGCGCGACCACAGTCAACACGCAGCACCGCTCCCCCGCTGTCTCCCCTGCGCTCGCTCACTAGGTCCAACCCTGTGCCTGGATTCCACACGCCTGAGTCCGGCTGACCGAGTCCTCCTGTGCAACCCCGCTTCACCAGCCGCTGGTTTCGCCCCTTACCGGTCAGGCTGAAGAATTTGTTGTTAACGGACTCCCGAAAAGTTCAATTTTCCGTGTTCTGGCTGTGTTTTCTGTTGCTAATATTTAATTGTCTCTAAACTTGGTTGTGTGAGAAGGCACGGCACATCCACCTATGCCTCCATCTTGGCGGAAGTCCTGTAGGACTCTTAAGTCAGAAATCTGCAGACTTATCTTGTAAAGGGCCCAATTTGGCCATATATGGTCTGTATCACTTATTCTTCTTTTTCCTTTTTTATTTAATTATTTATTTTTAGAGAGAGGGGAAGGGAAGGAGAAAGAGGGAGAGAGACATCAATGTGTGCTTGCCTCTTGCACGCCCCCTCCTAGGAACCAGGCCCACAACCCAGGCATGTGCCCTGACTAGGAATTAAACCAGGGACCTTTTGGTTCAGAGGCTGGTGCTCAATCCACCAGGGCTTCTTTCTTCCTCTTCTTTTTTTTTTTTTACACAACCCTTTAAAATTTTTTTCTTTTCCTTTTTTTTTTTTTTTTTTAAGATTTTATTTATCTTTAGAGGGGAAGGGAAAGAGAGAGGGAGAGAAACATCAGTGTGTACTTGCCTCTCGTGCATTCCCTGCTGGGAACTGGCCTGCAACCCAGGGCTCTCTTTATTTTTTTATAATGTATTTTATTGATTATGCCATTGCAGTTATCCCCTTCCCTGCTTCATTCCCCTCCACCCTGCATACCCCATCCTACCCACATTTCCCCCCTTTAGTTCATGTCCATGTGTCATAAGTTCTGTAGCTTCTACATTTCCCACACTACTCTTGCTTTCCCTCTGTCTGTATTCTCCCCACCGTCTATGCTACTTATTCTCTGTACATCCTCCCCTTTCTCTCCTCCCCCTACTCCCCTGTTGCTAACCCTCCATGTGATCTCCATTTCTGTGGCTCCGCTACTAATCTAGCTGTCCTCTTAGTTTGCTTTTGTTTTAGGTGGTTGTTAATAACTGTAAGTTTGCTGTCCTTGCACTGTTCATATTTTTTACCTTCTTTTCTTAGATAAGTCCCTTTAACATTTCATATATTCATATATAATGGCGATGATGAACTCCTTGAACTTCACCTTACCTGAGAAGCACTTTATCTGGCCTTCCATTCTAAATGAAAGCTTTGCTGGATAGAACAATCTTGGATGTAGGTCCTTGCCTTTCATGACTTGGAGTATTTCTTTCCAGCCCCTTCTTGCCTGCAAGGTCTGTTTTGAGAAATCAGCTGAAAGTCTGATGGGAACTCCTTTGTAGGTTACTGTCTCCTTATCTCTTGCTTCTTGTAGGATTCTCTCCTTCATTTTAATTTTGGGTAATGTAATTATGATGTGCCTTGGTGTGTTTCTCTTTGGGTCCACCTTCTTTGGGAGTCTGAACTTCCTGGACTTCTGGAAGTCTATTTCCTTTGCCTGTTTGGGGAAGTTCTCCTTTATTATTTGTTTAGATAAGGTTTCCCCTTGTTGCTGTTCCTCTTTCCCTTCTGGTACTCCTATAATTCGGATGTTGGAGCGTTTAAAGATGTCCTGGAGGTTCCTAAGCCTGTCCTCATTTTTTTTGAATTCTTGTTTCTTCATCCTTTTCTGTATGGTTGTTTCCTTCTTCCTTCTGGTCCCCACTCCATTGATTTCAGTCCAAGTTTCCTTCCTATCACTATTGGTTCCCTATGCATTTTCCTTCATTTCACTTAGTGTAGCCTTCATGTTTTCATTTAATTTGCAACCAAAATCAACCAGTTCTGTGAGCATTTGATCACCAGTGTTTTGAACTGTGTATCTGATAGGTTGGCTATCTCTTGGTCACTTAAAAGTATTGGCTCTGGGTCTTTGATTTGTTCTTCTGTTTGAGTCATAATGTTTTGGTCGGCTCTCGCCTGTTACCTATGAGTGGCAGAGCCTTAGTTGTTCACCAGGGTGGGGCAACCCAGTTGCTGGTTGTGACGCTGTATGTGGGGGCAGGATCAGAGAGAGAACAGTGGTGCTCTCTCAGATTTCAGTCCCCTCTGCCACTTCCCACAAGCAAATTGGGCCCTTCTGGTGCTGATTCCCATGTGGATGGGTTTGTGTACGTTCTAGGACCCTGTGGGTCTCTCCAAGGAACTTTCCTGTGAGGCTGGGAGTCTCTCCTGGCACCTTTTCAATCAGTGCTTTTAGGTTTTATTTCCTGGGCTGGGGCCCTGGGTTGCGTGGTCTGTCTTGCTGCCTGTTCCTGCCTAGTTTTATCTGCGCGCAAAGGTGTGCGCAGACCCTGGTCAGCCCTGAGCTGCCTGCACTCTTGGATCTGGCGGCCACCGCCTTTTCCTGTTGTGACCCCTCTTACCAGTCTGGTTGAATGGTTGTCAGACTTCTGTACAGTTCAATTTTCTGTCTGTTCTGGTTGTGTTTTTGTTTCTAAATTTTTGTTGTCCTTAATTTTGATTGTGTGAGGAGGCACAGTATTTCCACCTACGCCTCCATCTTGGCCAGAAGTCTAAAAATATTTTTAAAAAATATTCTTATCTAGGTTCCTGCACCAAGTTATTCAAATTTGACAAGTGCTTTTGGCTGTTTACCTTCCTCTTTCATTTAGTCTCTGTGATTCCAGGGAAAGAAAACAAAGCTTAAGGGTGGGAGGAGATGTTTGGGGTTTTTTCCTGCTCTAATTCTGCATGGGATTCTAAGTATCTTGCCTCTTCCCACTGTGGGTCGGCCATTTACTGGGGAACAGCATGCACCCAGAGACTTCAGGGACAAGTTTGTTTGTTCAGCAGTTTTTCAGCCTTGGTTATAGGAGCATAAATTTTATCAGCTGCATCAAAAACCTGACAGGCGGCATCTATTTAAATTAAAATTTATTTCTAAAATAATAGATTTGGGCTGATGATAATTACAGAACTGCAAATCTAAGAATGATGGGGGATTTCCTTATGAATTACTGTGGAATTATAACTAGTCCCATGCTGTCCGGGAAGTGGATGGTTTTATTAACACAGAAAGTTAAAAGAAAGTGCAGGCATCACATTTTTCTAAACCATCGAGTTTGGAGGAGGGCAGCCATACTGGGCAGCCTGCAAGGAGAGCTAGGGGGCTGGAGGACTGGAAGCCAGGTCACCCTGGTCATCGTCCTGCGGGTCCACTGACCTCCCTCTGCCGCACAGCAAGGCCCAGGGGGCGCTGGGCTGCCTTGCACACGTCCCTCGGGGAGGCGCTGGCCTGAGGGCGTTTTAGGGTGCTGGGGTGCAGTGTATTCGTTCCTCGGCAAGTCATGTGTCCTGCTTTGCCTCTCTCATTCATGGGGGCAGAATGTACAAGCCCCAAAGTCTCCCCTGTGGCTTGCACAACCACAGCTGCCATCTCCGTCACCCCGACATGTGAGGAGAGCGTGGACTTCCTGGGACTCGCCCACTTGGGGGTCACTGGAGTCCATGCCTGCCTGCTCACCGCCCTGTGTTTTCTTGACCCCTGTCCCCCATGCAGAGTATATCCAGAAGTACGCGACGGAGGAGGCGCTGAAAGAGCAGGAAGAGGGCACCGGTGACAGCTCGTCGGAGAGTTCTATGTCTGACTTTTCGGAAGATGAGGCCCAGGATATGGAGTTGTAGTAGCAAAAGCACCTGCTTTTCAGAAAGACTATTATTTCCTAACCATGAGAAGCAGACTATAATATTCATATTTAAACAAAGCAATTTTTTTTATTACTAAACAAGGTTTTTATGAATAATAGCATTGATATATATATATTATATATCACCCTTTAGATCTTGATTTCTTGGTCATTTCTCAACCTGAGGTGCATAGCATATCCCCACATTCCATTTTGGTAGCAATATGCGGTCCGAATGCATGCATTCACGAGTCCATTTGGCCAAGTCAGCCTGTGTGCTACTGAACTGTCAAAAGAAATGGCCGCTCTGATAGATAGACATGAGTAAAAATAACAGGAAAAAGTTGCTTCTTTTATTGATGGTTCCAAAGAAACAAACCAAACCAACCAGCTCTTGGATGTGAAGATAGAATAGTGCTTTTTCAAAATGGAAAGGAAAAACTGGGGAGGAGCGGCCTGCTGTGGGGGCCTTCAGCGCCAGTCATGCCGGAGCCGGCGCGCCTCCCTGTGACTCCTAGGTGGCCCCATTTCTGTGGAGTAACCGTGTAAACAGGGAGCTCATTGGAGTAATGAAACCTGAAACAATTTTTGCCTCAGATTTTGAGTACATTTTTATAGATAGATTCCTGCCCTTCTGGCCACACGGCCCTGCAGCCACGAGTGTGTTGCTTTGGAGAACCTTTGGAAAGTTTTCTGAACCTGATTCTTTCTCCTGGGGTAGAGCTTGTAATCCAGACCTTTTTTTCGAGGACAGGACAGGAAGAGAAGAGTGACCAAGAAGACGTTTCCTCTCGCCCAGCACGTGCAGAGTCACATCCTTGTCCTGTTGGTGGCCACCTGCGAGACCACTGCCCTGGACCGAGAGCTTTAAATCTGAGGGTGGTTGTGGGTTATTTTTGTTTGAGGGGTTTGGTTTTTTTGGTGTGTGTGTGAATTGTGCTTAGACAGGTTGCAAATTTAATACTCACCTACCAAGAGATGGCCGCCTCCTCCTCGGACAGCCGGTCAGCGGGCCATTAGACTCGGGAAGAAGACCCCGTCTGGTGGCTGTGACTCCTGGGCACGCTCACTCACGTCTTGGTTTTGGTTTTCCTTCTGCCGCTGCTCTTGGCAGCGGCCTGGTCATCATCTGCTTGCTGGGGTGGGAAGTGGGTATTTTAGACCCAGCACCTTCTGAATTTCAAATGAGTAATCACTGGAACAAATAAAGGTTCTTGTACCCAAAGTGACTCTACGTGGGGAAAACCAACCCGGCTTTTCTCAGAGTGTGACCAAATAGAGAAAAGGATTCAGAAATAAGGTGTAGTAAAACAGGTTGTAAAGGAAGAAGGTCTTCTCTTCTGTGTGTGTTAAGAGGAAATCAGACAGTTTGAAATGCCTGCTAATGAAATGTTCACTTAGCTCACCACACGTCCCGGTTGCTGGCGAGGGCCCTGCAGACGCGCGCTGCTGCTGAGTCGCGAGAGCCCTGGGTGGCGCCTCCGCCTTCTGTCCCGCCGCCGTGCAGCCCGTGGGGCAGGAGCGGAATCAGCCAATCCTACAACCTTCTCGAGACAGTTTTGGAATGTCCCACTGGGATAATTTAAGGTTTCTTTCTGATGTGTGTTTTTAGTTTAGAAGTGCTATATATTCCACAAGATTTGAGTCAATGAGGTTGGAAAATACCCTTTTTTTATTCAAAAAGCACAATCCTTTGAAAATCTATATAAAGTACAATTTGCTTTTAGCATGATTATTTTCCTAAATAAAAAAAAGACAAATAATTCACTTATTTTATGTTGATAACGGGCATGAAGCAAAAGGTTTTCTTTCAAAAAACATTGCGAGTGCAGTTGCGTAGGGCTGTGGTTAGTTCCGTGCTGAGTTGCCTGGCGTCCGTGGCTCGTCGGAAGGGTAGTGTTGACCGTGTAACGTGTGATGGTGTGCTTACCTCTTATCTAGCACGTTGTCTTCTCACTGTTGGGGGAGGGGTCGCTGCTGGCACTGACTTGCTCACCTGCTGAAGTAGCAGTTTGCTTGTGGTGTAACCTTCATTGTAGGTGCAACGTAGGGTAGGCTTACAGTGCTGGGTGGTGATTGGAGTTCAGACAATAAAAAATTGCATTTTTTCAATATTGTATGAACACTAGTGTTCTAATTACCCTCCCAGGAAAAATGATGTCCCGATAATAATTGCTTTAAATCTTATCCAAAGCACACTAGGAGAATCGAGTTTAGGAAGGTGTATGAGTAGGGCCATGGCTCTGCTCCCCGCCTAAATCCACGTTTTCTGACGAAAAGACATCAGCTTGCCTGCGGTCCAGAGCTCCAGCCCTGGAAGCCTGGTGGTGCAGAACTCCCAGCCGAGGACTCGGTGGGGGAGGCTGCAGGGACAAGCAGAGCGGAGTGTGGCTGCTCTGTGCGCGCGTGTCTCCGTGTCCGTCCTTGTGTGTCCATCCAGATTCGTGTGTTGAAGGTATAATTAGGACTTCTCTATTAGCACTGGAAGCTTCTGGAATTGCTACCCCAATCAGGCTTTGTCTCTCATTCTGTGCAAGTCCGTCACATCGGAGCACCAGCCTTGGTCCCCTGCGTGTGTTTGGTTCTGTGTAGGTCTTTTCCTCTCGACTGCAAAACTGACTTTGGATAAGTTGAACAGAATCCCTCCTTAATGCTTAACTTTCCGTCCCCTCCCTGGACCCGGAAGAGGTGGGTGTAGGACGCCGTACTCGTGTAGAGGGAGCTGGAAGACGCCTGGCTGTGAATCTAGGACGCTGGGCCCCCAGTGGTAGGATGGGAGCACAAGGCCGAGGCAGGGGCGTTTCAGCACCGGAAGCCTTTCCAGGCAGCCCCATGGCAGCCCTCGGAAAAGTGCCTGGAGCCGCTCAGAGAGGCTGAATGTTACTGCTTTTAAAGGTGGTGGTGGTGAGTCAGAGTTGCTTCTGGCAGTTCCCCTCCTTTCTTAGTACCGGTAGTTTTTGAAGTCCCACCTTGGGGCGTACCAGCGCTGGCCACTCTCTGCCCCTGTTGAAACAACTGAGCTCAAGCTCTCGCCAAATGCCAACTGGCAAGGTGGCCGCGGCACTGAATTTGCTGCTCTCCGGTTGCCCCAGCCCCGGGGCCTTGTGGGTTACTGTTTCTCAGTAGCCAACCTAGACAATGGCATTTTTGCTCCTTTAGTCTTTAATCTCCTCTAATTGCCCTCCTTGAGGTTACTGTGCAGTTTCAACCAGCATTTTATACTAGTGAGATAATTACCAGAAGTTGCCATGAATCTCTCCTGTACCTAACTTTTTTTTCTTCCACTTCAAAAGCTGTTCTAATTGCCAACTGGCTGATGTAAGCTCCTGGAGAGTGTCTCCCCTGGAAGGAACTTTTCCCCCCTCCAAAGTCTCCCTGAAGCCCTAGTTGGCCTTGGCCTGACACTGCTTTTTATTAAGCTTCCTATTGGGATGGCTGAGAATCATGAAAAACAGACCTTCCACTAGCTTCCAAGGGTCAAGTTCCTGGGAACTAGTGTTTGATTTTTAAGTGGCAGGTGACCCTTCTGTGTTCTAGGAACTCAATTAGAAAAGGGAAAGCCATTAACAAAAGTAAGTTTTATTTCATCAGCTTCCTGACTGGGTTCACAGCCTCGTTGACTGAAATCAAATAATTTCTGACTGGGCACAAAGACCTGTATTTCTTTGGACTTCTGAATCCATGTTCACGTTTTCTCTGGCCCCTGGACACCTTGGCGATTCCATTAGGGACTGGCCGGAGTGGAGGCCGTGGGGGAGGGGAGCTGACAGCCCTCAGGCGGGAAGGTTCTCACTCACCTGAAGAAGGGCCAGACTCTTCACTCAGCAAACACTGGCCGTGGCTGTGGGCTTGGGAAGAAATGGCCATCACGTGCTGATTGTGTTTGGTACATACTGTGTGATACTTGAAGAGTTACAAGGGACTGACCAGCCCCTAATTGAAATCTAAGCTTTTTATCACTTCTCTCTTCCTCGCCCTCTCCCCTCCCCTCCTCCCCTGCATTGTGATGATCTAGTGGGCACTTCTGTCAACAGGACAAATGCCTCCTCTGACTATAACCTCTTCATAGTTGTGTATAATGAAAACTGTAAACTTTTTTAAATAAAATGTGTATATACCTTGGCAAATGGCTGGACCTCGATGAATAAGATAATAGCCCCCATGATTAGGTGGCCTGTTTTTAAGTGTCCTTCCTGTTCCTCCGGGCCCCCCACCCCCACCTTTTGCCTAAGTGGGGGGTAAAATCTCTTACTTGTAAGACTGGTCAGCTTGAGGAGGGTTGTCACGTGTAGGCAGCAGTCACCAAGGGGCCTGGCCTGCAGAGTCCTGTCCTTGTCCCTGGAGCGGCAGGTGACTGCTGGCTGTGAGGCTTCAGCAGGGCATTAAAAAGCCATCCCTCCCGTAGCCTGAAGGGCCCGGTTCCCCCAAGTGGACGATTGAGCAGGCCTAACTGCCCTTGTCACTGTTGGCCCAAACATTGCAGGCCTGTCAGCTAATGCTGAGCCAACTTGGCCTGGAGTTCACATGCAGTGAGGCTTCCTGCCAGTGGCCATCCTGCTTCAACAGGTGTCCCCTGTGCCGGGCGGCAGCCCCCACCATGAAGGGGAGAGCAGTGGGTATGGCATCAGAAGCTGACTGCTGAATTACTGCTGCATTTTCGTTCCTTCCTGAAGCATATGCCCTCAGTGACCACCAGGTGGCGGTATTTCCCAAGTGCCCTGGAGAAGCTCCTTGGCGCTGGATTGTGTCAGAAGGCCCTTAAGACAAAGGGATGCATTTCTTAGGTCACGTGTTCTCATCCCCCCAGCTCCCCACTGTTTTTTTCTCATTTGTTTCCCTCATACTCCTTTTCCTTTCTGCACCCTGATGTACTCCACAGTAGGCCCAGCTTTGTATCCACCAGGGAGAGGGCAGGAGGGTGGGCCACCTAGGAAATGTCCAGTGTGAATAAACCTTGAGCTCTCATGTGGCAAGTAAACCCTCCAGCCACCCTGGCTACCCCCAGTGCTCAGAGGCAAAACGTGCTCTTCGCAGGTGGTCTCAGTGACCCCTCAGTCCAGGGCGTAATGGACCAGAGGCTTCAGCTAGCCCTGGGAGTTCTAGTCCCGTCCCTCATGGCCTCCAGCTCACGTGTACAAGTCTCTAAAGTAGCAGGTTCTGACTCTGACACTTGGCAACCCCACTCCGTTTGGGCTTTGAAACAATACTGGATATAGTGTCCTGAGGAATTACATCAACCCGAGGAACATCAAGGTTTCAGGGTCAGAGTTTAGGGCTTTTGGATGCAAAGAGCTTTGGGAGTTTAGAGCACCTGTTTTCCAGCTGAAAGAATAAAGAAACCTGCGGGTCATGTGAGTAGTCATTCCATCATATTACACAAGGCTGCTTTAAAAACTGCTCCGTGACGTCCAGCCAGGGTGTCAGTGCCCTGGCTGGTGTGGCTCACTGGATTGAGCACTAGCCTACAAATGGAAAGGTCACAGGTTCAATTCCCAGTCAGGGCAAATGCCTGGGTTGTGATTTGGGAGCATGTGACAGGCAACCAATCACTATCTCTTTCCCTCTCTGAAAGCAGATAAAGTTTAAAAAACAAACACTGCTCTAGAGTCCCAGCACATTCAGTGCTGGTCTCACACGGACTCCCAAGTGGTGGGTGGCTCTTGCTGCCTGCCTGAGGCTGTGTCACTCCCGAGAAGGGACCCCTGGGATTTCTGAGGCATATTGTCTTGTAGATGAAAGTTGTGTGCTTGGTACCCCAGAACTTTTACTAACCTTAAGTTCTCTTTATATCTCTGAAGCTGCTCTCTACCCCGGGAGTGTGTTTCCGTGATACTGGGCCCTGCTGTTTCCTGCTCCCCACCTAGAACAAGGGCAAAGAGAATCTGGTTCTCACAACCCTTGGTCCTGAGCGTCCTGGTTTATGAGAAACACAGCTTGCAGGCTTCTGAGGGACTTGTCCCTGGGTAAGCCCAGAACAGTCCACCTTGACAGTCACAGGGCGTGCCCCCAGAACCTCTGGGATGAAGAGTTACTCTGATGGGGTTTGCCATCAGAGGATGAGAGACAGAGGAGCGTCCCCTCTTGTTCTGTGTTTGAGGTGTGTGCGAAAGTGCATGTGCATGTCCATGTCCCTGATGAAGGATGTTTATTTTTGAAGAAGGCTGGCGCTTCTGTGGACCTGGGTTCCTCAGAGCTCTTTGGGACTCAAACTTGGCTCCTAGGACCTGGTGTCAAGTGGTTGGGGTGGCAGGCACAAACTTGGGGTTTCTAAGAGGAAAACTCAACCTTCTGGCTGCCTGGGCATTGCCAGCTCACCTGGAGAGGGGCTGCTGGGCGGCTGTGGGGCTGGGCCTTCCCATCCGTCCCAGCTTCTCTTCACGTGGCCCGTCAGCCAAGTCAGCCAGTGCAGAGCAAGCAGCTGCCTCTGAGAGGCTCAGCCCAGATTCTCTTCCAGTTCTAGAAACAAATCAGGTGTACAGTACAGTCCCCTGACGTGCACTTTAAAGTGTGGAACACAGCTTTTAAAAGATGCACCTCTACAGACTTCCGATCAGCATCCCAGGAACGTGAAAATCCTCCGCCATGCCCTCCTTCAGAGAACCACCCTCGGCAGTGGTGGGAGAAGGCTCCCCCGTACCTCCCGCTGGCCCCGGGAGCCACTGGCGAAGCAGACCGGGTGTGGCCACATTTCACATTAACTGCCTGTGAGGCGCCGAGAGACTTGAGCACACAGTGAGTGGCACAGTCAGCGGTGGAAGCCAAGTCTTGAGGACATTGCTGAGTGTTCTTTGCACTAGTGCATCCTGTGCCAAGTCTGGTGCCCATCTAACACGCCGGGGAGCCGTGGGCACCGGGTCTGCTGAGCCTGCCACCTGGGGCTCCTACACCACGCTTCCTGGTAGGCCCTGGAGTCCGGCTCGCCTCCTGCCCAGGGGGCGCATGGGCTTGGTCCCCGGGGCTCAGGGCCTTGACCGCGTTTGCACTGATAGCAGGGTTCCCACCCTCTGGAGTTTGCAGTAGAGTCGGAAAATAAAACTCAGGTTTAGCCCAGCCCTGGAGCAGAAATAAAATGCCATCTACACAATGAATTTAAAACTTTTTAGTGGCCACAT